ATTCCTAACTACATTATTCAAAGACCATCAAATACAACAATCCGGTAATAAAACCCTTCATCCAAATCCAATATTTTAAATTTAAGAGCAACAAATTAATCATATTTACAGTTAAAAAAGTTGTTTTTTTAAGTGCAATTTTGAGATTATGTAGTGCACAAAGTGTGTTATAGTCGTGCTGGTGCACACAAAATTAGCCACTGCTTTCATATACTATTAATTATTAAGGTTTATTTGATTTTTAATATTTTTTAGTTATATATTCTTAAAATAATTGTTTTCTCATAACAATAATGTATTATACACAATTAATTGATGGTTTTGAAATTTAAGTGAGACCGTGAGGGCCACATTAATATCTACCGAGGCTACCAGTTGTATACCCTTGCTGTAGCCTGTAGGGCATTGACCCCTCTGTAATGGATCTATTAAGTTCAAATTCTATGGTAAATTATTATATTATTCAGACAACGATTCTGAGCGGATATGATAGCATAATTTATTAAATTATTAATTAATATTCATTGTAAGAATGTAAGATCAACACATTCATAGCTCAGAATCTAAAATGTATATTTTTCAAATAATTATCAAAAAATAAAACCTGCAACAAATGTCCAGACATCGGGCGAATTTAATATTTTTAAATTAATATATTTTACAAATACAAGCATTGTTGTATTAAACTAAATATTACAAAAATGAGCAACAATATTTCAAATTCGCATTTATGGCTTATGCACAAATTTATACAAATAAATAGGTAAATAGGTAAATAAATAGGTAAATGAATAGGTAATAAAAATTAAACGTACATCAGATAATAATTGTATTGTATGGAAGTGGTTGTCAGCTTGAAAATTAAATAGCCATCGCATGGTTAGGACGGTCATTCGCGCAAAATGTACATTTAATGCGCATAACGATTTTGGACCCGTTTGAATAACTCGTGTTTGATTGTAGATGGTTATATAGACAAAAACAGCTGAAGCCCAGGGGCTGCTACAGTTTTGTAATTATTTAACGTTAAATATAGAAAAATACATTTCATTTAAATGTACACATGCTAAAAGTACATATTATAACGTGGAACTTTTTTTTTTCTATTTAAAATTAAATGTTTGTCAAAAAAACAAACAATAGGTATTTTTGTATTTTATATTTAATAATGTACCAATGTAAGTAGCAACGTTCTATACTTCTATGCAATGTGCGTTTGAATGAGCGGTGTTCTAACTTCTAGTCGATAATTAATAAAGAATCTAAAGGTTTTTTGCCGTGCTCGATCAATTGTATAACAATATTATCAAAATATGCATTTAAAATATAATATACGTAGGTCGAGAACTATACGTTAATACTCATACTGCTGACTGCTGAGACAACAATAATTTGTAAAAAAAGTATTATTTTCTTTTTCTTTATTAAATATGAATTTAAATTGTAAAAGTAGGCACAAAATATTAGTTGTGTGTGTGAAGCGTGAGCGTAATATTATTTGTCTAACCCGAGTGTACATTGCGACTTGCGAGGTAAGTAACGTATAGGTATAATGTATACGACAATATAAAATATTATAATATAGTGGTCAACATGACTATATTTATTATATTACAATACTACATGCGCATTTTTAAAACCAACTACAATAAAGTTACCTATGTTACAAATTTTGTAAAATTATAAGATAAATTTAGCAATGATCCAAACTAACATAAACTTATGTCTTATGATAATATAATATGTATATAATATTATAACTAAACGTGTATTAAGTTTATGAAAATCTCATGTATAGAGTAATATTATTCGATTCGTATGAATATATATAAATTACACACCCATGACACATGTATAACACCGAGCCTTGTATAACCACTATATTATATCGGTTTATTTATAACTGTATTATGTAACTACTAACTATATAGGTATGTAGTTTTTTCGATATAGAGCTCGAATTAATTGAAATTTATTTAAACGTCCACAAATCACCAATGTAAAAGAAGGCAGAATCAGAAATTGCCAATAATGGTTTTTACATTTCTTTAAATATAATCGGACAATAGAAATAATAAACTTGTATTAAAATATCATGTATTATAATAATTTATTGTTACATAACACATGATTATTATTTAAGTAATAATTAAACATCTTAAATTGCAAATTGTAAATTAAAGAAAAATAATTCAATTCACGCATTATTTTAGTGTTTATATATTTAGTTTATACCTAGTATATACCTATACCTATAAGTATATTAGGTAGTACCTACTATTATAGAACGAACATAATAATATAATATGGTTAACCTTGTTTTTGAATAAGAAAAAATGTAAAACTACCTTGAATTAAGACATTAAGTATTCACTATTTAACAGTATATATTGAATTAAAGAATTAATAAGATCAAAATTCTAAGATGTAAATAATATTATATTAGTATATTACCCAGTTTGAATTTTGTTTATTTCTATAATTTATTTTTATGACGCTTGTAGTGCCTTGTACACTACGGATATCGGGCTATACCGACATTTCCTGATTCCGTTTCTCTAACGATCAACACAAAATAAACCTTGGAACCTAATAACGAAACAACAACGCTTTTGGATTATTATCATATAGGATCAATGGTTATTTGGTTATCGTCAGTTATTTTAATAGAGTACAAGTTGTATTTTGAACTTTAAAAATAATAATACAAGTATTGTCGTATCTAGAATGAAGGATTTTTTAAATGTTTGTATTATATTATATTATATTATAAAATCTTTTTTTTCTAAAAGCTATTATACGTTTTTGGTTACATAATTAATTTAGAAATTCTAGACGTAATTTTTAGTCCTAAATAAGCACTTGGATACTTGTAAACTTTTTTAAATTTCAACGATTTCTCGAATACTCCATTGTCATTGAAACTAATTATATAAAATGAATACAATATATATAAAGAATAATAATAATTATTAAATTTTTAAATTTTTAAATTATTTAAGTCATATGAACAAAGAACAAAAATAAATCGTAATATTAAACTAAGTTATTACTTATTAATGTATTATTTAAATACTTCTCTGGTGGACAACTGTACAGCAGAGCGACATCCATATATTTTTTTTATATATAATTTATAGCCACTTGCTCTACACGTGTAAGAGGAAAAAAATTATTTTTATTTTTTATACTTAAATTAAAAAATTTTAAATTTGACTTAAATTTTTTTGAATAAATTCAAAATAGCAAACTTGTGAATCTGATTTTAAGAACGATTTGGATGGTAAAAACATTTATCTAAGTCTAGTAGTTTATTTTTTAGAATTTTTTTTAAATATCAATATTTTTTTGATAAAATAAATTTGGAACGCAATAGCTTTTTTAAAAATATTATTTTTGGAAATTTTATAACATGGGTATATTCTTAAAACTATTTACTAATCATATAATTTCAACAATTTTTGTCATACATTTAAGTAGCATCATTTTTTTTTTTTTTTGGTCAGTTCTTTCTGTTACACACGGTATATATAAATATATATGAATAAATTATAATTATTATCAGAAATATTGCGTTCAGTGCAATCAATTAATATTAAATTTATTTAACATATAATAATAAGATAATATTGATATTTACTCAACGACCAACATCCAACGCGGTTGTTTTTAATTTGTATTTGCGAGATTGCACACTTTAGGCCGGGACTATACACGGCGTATTCCTCCGCGTATTATTCATAGATATTATAAGATTATCCATTATCTATGGTATTATTTATATTAATAATTAATTTATTTTATTCGACGGAAAACGTTGCGGAATACGCCGTGTATAGCCCCGGCTGTACTTTACCCAATCTCACACGAGTATCAGTCGTGTATGTCTCGTATCAATTGATAAATAATTTAATACGTAATTATAAAAAAACTTATCCTACGTATACCGTAAAAAAATAATATTAGAATGCCGAGTTGCAAAAACAATTTCGCAATGGTTCACTACAATGTAATGGACCAAACATGGGCCACTAAATAATATTTAAAGATGCTTATACAGTTATACAGTATTTATACAGATTAATCGCCGAATTTAAACATATTTTATTTTACCCTAGCGCAATTTATTAATAGCCTAGTGTTGATCCATTGACAATTGTTTATCGATTGTATATGGCATATTATACAATAATATTAATATTATAATATGCAGGCGGAAACATCAAGGTTTACAAACGACGACCGGACTGGTGTACCAAAACCGGATTGTGTTGGGTCATAAACATAAGTGATAATATTAATGGCATAGGTCTGATAATACCTATTATTGGAAACCATAGGTTTACCAATATTTGTTGTAATTTTAAAATATTATGACGTTAGTAGTTTTCCCATCAAATATATGAATCCAAATGATCATTAACCAATGCGCATACTCATTAGTGTTATAATAACTTATAAACACCGGTCTAGTGGCGTCTGGTGGATAATATTTTCGCGGAATGCTTATATTAACACGGCGTAATGCAATATTAATACATGTATAATATTATTATTTTTGCCTACGACCGTTCGCGGAGATGGCAAAACTCGTATGATAATTTAAAATACCTATTAAACAACAATAACGAAACGCGGTTGGCGGGACTCAACGACGACGGCTTCGTTCACGGACGTCGTTCACAAAAGCGGTTTTTTTTTCGATCGAGTCGATTATTACTGGTGGGCAGGGCAAGACGGAGGTGTAGCGAACGCGATAATACCGCGACAAGGCACTAAGACAGTGCAAGCGTGCATGCGCGTCGCAACCGTCCACGGTTTTCCCGTCGTCCTCCCAACCTTTAGCCCAGAATTATTCTTTCGTTGATTTTTTTCCCGCCGATCATCGCCGCCCTCTTCGGATTCTCCGACCACGACTGCAGCTGCATGCCGCGCGAGTTTTTATTTGCGTAAATAATAATTATCATCGTTCGTCTGTTACCGCGGCCGCTCTTATCGCCATGTCGTCATCGGTGCACTGTCGCCGTACGTCGTCGCTGCATACGACCATTGCCCTGGTCGCCGCTGTGGCCGTCGTGGTCGCCGTCCACTCGACGGCCGCTGCCCCGCAGTCCGACGGCGACGCCACGATCACGATCGCCGGCCAGCAGTGCAAGTGTGTGCCGTTCTACTTGTGCGATTCGAGCAATACCATCGACGTACCCTCTGGGTAGGTGTAACGATTACGTGCATAATATTATTATAGACTATAGTACGCGGTGGGATGACTTTGGTCGTGGGGTGGAGAGGGTGCTGAGGGGAACCAAGTTTGGCTTGTGCCGTGCTTGTCGTTGCGGAATTTTGGGTTCTTTGGCCGGAGGTACATTTTATTTCATATAGACGCAACTTTTTGTAATACGAATGGCGATCTCACAGAATCAACTGGCGTAAAGATGTTTCAACAAACTTACAAACTCTGCATAATTATGTCTGAAATGGTCTCTGTGGCAGGCCTTATTTATAGGGACCGTCCAATGTATTAAATACGTATTCTTGGGAGACGTGGGTGTTCTCTACACCCTCCTATTCGAGTCTCTCGCTATTTTCATACAGTTCTTGGAATAGTGGATTTTATTTAAGTTTTTAAATTTTGGCGTCGGATGTGCGTTTTGGCGAACAATAAAAATGACTAATGTGGAATTTTGATGAATTTGTACATACGTTAGGAAAGGGGTAAAGAAAACAGAGCAACTTGCAATAACGATAGTGATGTCAAACAACTTTTTATTTTTATTCACCATTAGACCGCATACAATATGACTGCCCAAATAGTCAATTCAGACTTCTTGCAGCTTATAAACTATAAATAAATAATAATAGTAATATTACAATATATTTATGTTTTTGTGTGTTGGTTTTCCTCATTGGTAGTTATTATTTTCATCAAACGTTCCTCACGATCTTTATATTCAATATAATATTTTATAATAATATACATAATATATTATATCACATTCACATACAACAATATAATATTATATTATCATATACGCATTAAAGATAGAGATGTATACATTTGGTATGTTTTATACTAAATACAGTCCGTTGCAATATTTATTAGTGACAACATTAAATAAAAATCATCTTTATAGAACAATATTTTAATATATCAAGTACCTATGGTTCAATTTTAGACGTAGAACGTTTCATTGTAATTAGTATAACTGGTATCAAATATCAATACATCAGCTATCATAATACCACAAAACTGAAAACAATCATGACCTATAAGGCATACACCTGTGCCGGCCTGTTCTATTATTTTGAAAAATTTCCAAAATAACATATTGAGGAGCTTACGACACTTTTTTGAATATTCAAATTTTTTTCAAGCCAAAAAAGTGTTAGGAAAAAAACAGTGTACGTATATAATATTGTTCAATATGTAAATATTTTTGGATTCGGCAAATAATTACCCTTATAATATTATAGTATTTACTTAATTTATTGAAATATTTGAGATACCTGTCACTCGACACTTATTGGTAATTATTATTCTTGCATTTCTATAATCTATAGTACGTCTAATACTCTAATGTCTATAATAAGTAGATAAGTTAAAAGGTAAGGTTAACTAATTATGGAGTGCAGATCCATATCTAGTTAATGATCTGAAAAATAAAGTATTATAGAGAAAACAACACAACATTAACCGTTGAACTCAAATAGTCAAATATAATATATTTTTTATTTATTATAATTATCTTCGCGTATTCTGTCATTATTTAGATTTTGCATACAATATTATGTTGTGAATGTTTTTGAATATTATGAATATTATTACGTATATTATATAAAGATTATTAGTGTAATGTTTTTATGTAAATGTAATTTATTTTCAATTGATTCCATGTATAAGTACAAAATAGACAATTAGGTTGAATTCATGTAATAGTTTGTCTACGAGTTTGTCAAATATATTATATTTATAATTTATATAAATTATAATTTGAAAAATTTGTTTCCCTTATTCAAAGAACTTAGAATATATTTTGGACTTATACGGTAGCGTAAATTCGTAATGTTCACTCAGACATTTTTATTATGTTAATGCAAACTATATTAAACAGATATTTCTAAGCATTAATTTTCATGTTTTTATAATATTTATTGTATCTAAAAGTGTTTATTTATGCTATAGTATTTCTTTGAACGAAAATAAATAATTAGGAGGACAATCGAATGGTAGTAAAATATTATTTAGTAGGTACATACTTATTGTTAATTATTATTTATCTGTTATCACTTATCACGTATTCATGTGCAAAGTATTTTAGTTACCTATCTACTTAAATATTAAATATACACATGATTACCATGATTTTTTTGTTTCTTTTACAGATCTACAGAATCGGGATGTGGAGATGCGGTATGTTGCCGAGTACAAAGTGATTTACCTTTACCACCAGTGACCGAATCGTATATACCGTCGTCTGAACTACCACTTATTAGTTCATCAACTCAGGAACCGTATATTGAGAATAATAAGCCATGTACATGTGTCTCCAGAAATCAATGTTTATCACCAAATGGTAGTAATAAACAGCAAAGTTCTAATATTAGGTAATAATTAGTTTTTACCAATAGTTGGCATTAAGATGTACGAAACGTATATTATTTTAAATTTAAAATTATTTACTATATATTAAATGTTCTACTGTTCACTAAATTATATATTAGTTGGGAAATTTTATATTTGTACGAATGAATAGATCATTATGAAGTGTTTACTTTTTATTTATATCTAGAGCAGGCAGTTGCAGCAGCAATAAAGTATGCTGCATAAATGAATATGTCAATATCGGAACAACCCAGGAAACACCTATTATTAGCGAACCCATAAATAACAATGATCGTAGTTGTGGTATTGGTAAGTCACCGCCAAATACCATAAATTCTGATAATATAGGAACCCGTATTATTAATCCTGAAGGTACTTTTACCATTTATTTAAAATTTAAACAACACAAAGATATTTTTTTCAAATAAAATAAGTACATTTTTGTTTTATATTAACAGAGAACTCAAACACTCATTTTGGTCAATTTCCGTGGATGGCTGCTATTCTAAAAACAGATATAAACGAAGAGACTGGTATTAAAACAGAAAATGTTTTCTTGTGTGGTGGTTCATTAATACATCCACGAGTCATTTTAACTGCGGCACACTGCGTCAGGTACATAATTAATTTTGCTATTTTCTTTTTACTATCAAAATTCGACAGTACTACATAAATACCTAAATACCTAAGCCGCTATAAGTTATATGAATTTGTTTCCCCTAAAACCACTTCGGAGCAATTTGTTCTCAACTAGTGAGCTTTTTTTTGTAAATGCAAAGAGGACACTCTTAAAATTCAAATACTTTATCAAAAGTGATTAATCAAAATTTTTTTTTGAAGTTTTAACTTTTAAGTTCATAACGTAATAATTTCTATACGCTATACCTACAAGGCTACTACTGCAGTAGGAGTAGAGACAGTAGAGTGATGTTTTTAAAAACATTTTAAAATTATAATATTGTTTTTATTACAAAATAATTGATTATTTAAGACATTTGATCAAACAAAAATCAAAATCTACTCATTTCCGTTGCATTATTGAAATGCACTAATATTTAACACATGGGAGAATTGATATATTTATACAAATATAAAATAGTCAATGATATAACTAAATAGTAGATTTACATTTTAAAATAAACATTTAAATCCTTAAGACCTTAAATATACAAAAATGATGTCAAATTAGGTGTCAATGACATACATCTTTATGATGTTTTTACATTAATTCAATTTATTAAGTAAAATACTCGTAAATCATATAATCGATCAGTCTCGTTATAATTTGACCATTTAATTAATAATATTATATTATAGTTCTGTTATATAAATAAATGTAAACAGCACCGTTTTTATTCAGATTATCTTCCTATCCTCAACAAAGTGGGTACACTATTGTTACCAAAATTAAAATTAATAGAATAATATTAATTAGATTGTTGTTTACGTGATTAGTGATAGAATGTTAATTGATACGAAATAGTTTCTCTTTTTAATCTTTATGATTAGGTATGTGAATTGTATTTTGTTTTATTTAATTATTTATAAAATATTATTACCTATAATATACTAATATAGTATAAATTCCCCGAATCTCTAAACATAACAATATAATATAATATAATCTACATCTACTGAATTTTATTAAAGACACCAATTTATACAAAACCATATAATCAGAACAAAATCAAAATGTACGTCTTACCACTATCACTTTTAAAGTACATTTTTCATTAATTTTATTTTTTTACCTATCTAATTTCATATTAAATATATAAAAAAAAAACTTTATTCTATAATATAAAAAAAAATACATGTAACATATATACAGGGTGTCCCGTGAGGATTTACTCATTAGCCGTAGAGGGGGACTCGCCGCCCGGACAAAAACCAGTTTATTGACGTTTTACTAATAAACTAAAAAAATTATTAAAAATCATGAGATTAATGAAAATAAAATGTTAAAAGCTCAAAATGTTCACAAAAATATACTCTATAGAATGGCTATCTTCAATTTTTTCAAAAATAAAAAAATAAAAAAATAATTTTTTTAACTTTTTTACTAAAAAATTTAATTTAATTAAAAATAAAATATTTGTAGTGCTTACCTCTGCGAGTCTTAATAAAAAAAACATAATTACGATATCTCCATTATTTCAGGAGATATCGCAATGAGTAAATCCTCACGGGACACCCTGTATATATGGCCAATGCAGTCGAGGCCTTGTATTTCTAATAATAAAATATAAGATTTTAATTTTGTTTGTCAGAATAAAGCTTCTAAAAATATTAAATATTAATAACATAATATGACAATAATTATAAATATACAATTGTTTATACATTATATTATTATATTTTTCATACAACGTGCGTTTTTCTTAAACCTTTAAAATATTTTAGCAATTGGTAATGCTTTTGGTTCTATATAAATCCTTAAAATACTATTATACATAAAACATAATATTATATTATTATACTACTACTATAATTTATAATAATATATTGGCACACGTGTGACATCTATGTATAATAAATAGGTATTGAATAGCACCAACATTAATATTTAATAAACTACCTACTAAATAAGAAATTTAATCCATCAGTTAATATGAACCGCATAGTTATATTACTATAGGTAAAATTAATAGTAATATGTTAGACAGTTATGACTCAATTACAGTATTATTTGTATTATGTATTTTTATTGTTCAACAATATTACATACTCCATTAGTTTCATTTGTTATTTTATGAATTATGATAAGTCTTTTTTATTTTAATTGTTCATGTTCAATTTCTTTTTGTATTGAAATAGAGGTAAGGATGTGAAATTGTTAAAAGTACGAGTTGGAGTGTGGGATACTCAGTCCAACAGTAACGAAGAAGATAGAGAAAAGTCGCACGAAGATCGTGGTGTTTCAAAAATAGTTTACCATCCGAATCATAATAATGGAACTATGTTCAATGATGTTGCGTTAGTCGAACTCGAATCTGAAATTATATTACATCCACATGTTAATGTTATATGCATTCCTAACAATGAAAAACAAATAAACTACGACCCTCAATCGTGTGTATCAACAGGATGGGGTAAAAATGGATTCGGTCAGTATAAATTATTTAATAATAATAAAATAATAGTAAATTATGAAACAAGCTTTGCTTAAAGGAGAAAGATAATCGAAAATGTTACTTTCAATAATAATGTATGTATTCCTTTTTCGATTAAAAAAAAAAAACTCATGAAGATTTTATGATTCATACCTTAAAGAAAAAACCCAGAAAAGATTTACATAAATGCTTTTATGCATCGCTAATGATAAACTATTATAATATTATTATCATGTCAAAGGTGTGGTTCTACCTTGTACACGTCTACGTGCCTACATTAACCATTATAATCACTCAATGAATTATAATATTCTAACTGTTACTTATTAATTATTAATGTATGCAAGGCTGTATCTAGATTTTTTCACGGAGGGGTCTTCAAATTTGTTTTTTTAATATAAATTCATTTCACTTCAATACTATAAAACATATTTTGTTTATTATACCAAAAACACAAACTATATATTTTCATAAATGCAATGCATTTAAACTTAATAGAATATTCCTACTTTTGTTTTGGGCAAATTAGTTAAAATTATTTCTATGGACTGGGTTCATACTTGAATACTTCATATCTTGCGTAAACACTGCGAATACGAACAAAACAACAAAACAGTCGACGTATTTCATCGCATAGAACGGGAAGTTTGGAACAGTGGTGGTTAGAATATAATTCATTCGTACTCGTCGTATTCGTCGTATTTATAAGTAGGATTCCGATTAGTTTTTTTTTATTTTGCAGATAAAAGCACTATCACTGAAGTGAGTAAAGCATCACTTTGTAAAATATTTTTTTTGACTTCTGATCGTTTTGGTTCATCTAAAATTATCTATTCAAACATTTTTATTTTTAAATAACTATAATATTTCGAATATTCGTGTGTTGAGTAATTACGTATCTGATAATATAGATAATATTGCTGTTCGCCGCTTTCCATCGATAACTGTCTATTATTAGATGTCTTATTTGTTACTTATTATGAATTCATAATTAATTGTTATAAAATATAACATTATATAATATTCAATTCAATTATAATTATAAATACGGACGTTTTGTGCATGGCTCTCGGGCTTGATTGTTTCAAAAATTAAATATGTTCTATATAACTAAAATACGGACCCCTTTACAAATGCAGTTTACAATTATAGCCCACATATTATTATGCATTTGTTTACAACTCTAGTCTCTAACCCAGTAAAATCAACAAGTTTTATTTTGTTCATCTGTATAATATAATATTTCATTTTTTCATGTGAGTCATCACTTTTTTTCGAACAATTATAAAAATGTCATTGTATTAAATTATCTATACCTACAGTTGTAGTCATAATTAATGCTTTATTAACAGTTATTATTTGTATTTTTTTTCACTCAACAGAACAGGGTAGCAAATATCAAACTGTGTTAAAAAAAGTAGACTTGTCTCTTGTGCCCAATGATTTGTGCCAACAGCAATTACGGACCACGCGCCTTGGGAACTTTTTCCGTTTACATGAAAGTTTTCTTTGTGCTGGCGGCATAAAGGGAGTTGATGTGTGCAAAGTAAGCGAATCGATTGTATTTGTTTTTATCAGATTAGCTGCTCAATATGTCTTATTAGTCGTTTAAGTGCCAATGTTTATACATTTTTTTCTTATACAGGGCGATGGTGGCGGACCGTTGATATGTGCAATGAAAGGATACCAAGGGAAGTCTAAAAAATATATTCAAGTGGGTATTGTGTCTTGGGGCATTGGATGCGGTGATGAAAATATACCCGGTGTATACTCGTCGGTAGCTGCCAACTCTCAGTGGATCAACAAGGGGCTTAAAACGATTATATCACAATGAAAACGTTGCTTTTTCAACTGTTGACATTTTAATTTATATTTTATTACACTTTGAACGAGAATATTTGAGTCGATTTATTTTCCGATATATTATAACATGATCATAAATATATTACAATTTAGTATTTACCTTTTTTGGCTATAGGCTATATTATTTGAATTCCTTCTCATGTCATAATATATGTATGCATAGTTGCATCTGTGATCTGTACTATATAATAGAAGTTCACATTTTATTTAAATAATAATTACATTTTAACACATAATATTTTGTCTAAACTTTTTAATTTGAATCGTTATTTATAAGTTTTCAAAGTAAATATTGTTTTAAAAAACTAAAAGCAAAAAAATAATAAAATAAAAACTTCTCTGTGGTAAGTAATTGTTTTGGTGTAATTTACATAATTACACATCATAATATTATCATTAATTGAATTGAAAAGTAACAAAGATCTTTAACGGCCTTGGGGTATCCAAACTATTTATACGGTAGTTTATTTATGCTATTCCGTCTAGGTGTTGAAAAGTAAGGGGAGGGGGGGTAGCGGGGGGCCTGCAAGAATTAGTAGGTACGCTACACGAAGATTTCTGTACAGAAAAAAAACCTACTAAAAAGCGGGCAAGTTGGTGACGTTCTGCTGTACAGTACCTATACCTATAGGTTACAAGTGGGTCACTGTAATGAATGGTGTTAAATTTGAATTCCATGCATAATGATATAATATAATTGTATACGAAAAGCGGAAACGATTTGTAGCCTAGGATATTTTATATTATTTTAAACATGCCTATTTTTATAATTTTGAAGAAATATAATATTTAGTTGGAAGATGTTTGTGAACTACTGTGACCAAAGCTATTATTGTTTATTTTTTTTCAATCAAACTGAAAGAAGTGCAGGACGGCCAGGACGTATTCATAAATAACATTATATAATAGGTGCAAACATTTTTACATTTATATTAAGGCGCGCACAGACGTAGTGGCATTTGTTATTCGATTATAATGGCTTAAAAAATAATATAAATTAGTAGGTGGTAGTAGGTACTGACGTACTATAGCCTCGCGGCTTTGCCGTAAATAGTATGTTCACACACACACTGCTTTCCTTTGATGTGGACGGTGGACCATAGGCTCAATTTCGAGGCACCAAAAATTTGTATTTTTATTGAAGTATTAAATATTTAAATATTAAATCCTTTATTAATAATCGAATCTACTAATTCACTAATAATTGTTGTTTGAAGAAATTATTTTATAAAGTTTAAACAACGATTCAAAAATCTTCAGTAGCATTATACAGGGGATTAACATTAACTAACTTAATTGGGAATACATATTAAAAATAATATGTTAGTGAAATAGTTAGTTAACATCGGTGATTTTTCAATAATTTTAATTTTAAAGCAAGATACGAGTATTCTGAGTGAAACGATGAATGTATTGATTTTACAATGATGTGTGTTTTTTTATTTTTATTTTTTGTGTCTGTACACGATAAGTAGTCGAAATAATGCTTCGGTATCTTGTTCGATTGGAAAGTGAAAATCGTTGGTGCATTGGGGAGGTCAAAATTTAAAATTCCCAGTACTTTTCAAAAGCGCCAAGAAAAACAAAAGAAAAATTAAGGAAAAACGGGAATTTATACTCAAAATCGATTTTTCAGAAAATTGAATTTAGTTTTTGATGTAACTTTAAAACAAATGACCGTAGATACATGCAATTTTCACTGGTTGTTTATATTTGCATTTTCTATACACGATAACATTTTCAAAATATTTTGATTTATTTTGAACTGTTTAGGGACATTTTCATTTTTCGTTTTTTTTTCTAGAAATATCAATAAAATTTTATTTGTTGGTTAGAAAAACTTGAAAATTTAATAGAAGGCTTCTAGTATATTGTTTCAAAGGCAGATGAAAAATATTGAAAATCGTTAGTCACAGTTTTTTTTTATAAGCATTTAAAGTTCAAAAATTGACAAAATATGGAAAAATCACAAAAATTAGCAAATTATTATGAGTTAAGAATTCGTAAAAATTTTTCTTTTTAAATCTAAGATTTGAAAATGTTATACAAGATTAATTATAAGTTTTTCTACGTTTATCAATAAAAAAATCTCTACCGGACAGTCAAATTAAATTTTTATGAGCGTTTGAAATTCAAATTTTTACAACATTGGATGTTCACTCGATTTCTCATGTAGCGATGTCTTTATTTAGTTGTTATTCATAAATGAATAACTATAGATACATGAAAATTTCACTGAATGTTTATATTAGCATTTCCTATACACCATACAATTTTGAAAATATTTTGACTCTTTTTACGCTGTTTACGGACATTTACAGCTTTCAATTTTTTTTAGTTTTTTTTTCTATAAATATCAATTAAGTTTTATCTGTTGGGCCAAAAAGTATAAAAATTTAATACAAGGCTCCTGATATATTGTTACAATATCAGTTGAAAAATATTAAAAATACATAGGCACAGTTTTTTTTTATAAGCATTTAAAGATCGAATTTTGACAAAATTTATCAAAATCTCGAAAATTATCAATCATTGTAATTAATAAATTATAAAATGTTCAGTTTTTAAAGCTAAGGATTGCAAATTTAAAACAAAGGTTCTCATAAATGGTTCATACTGTAACCAAAAAATCTAAAAAATATATGAACACAGTTATTTTTTACAGACATTTCTGTACCACAGAAGTAAACTAACGCAAGTCCATTTTTTGAAATTTTGAGTTAGTTATATAATCAGAATATGCTTTTTGTGATATTTTTAAAGGTATCAAAGCGTAAGTTATATATAAAATAAATGCATAGATACAGTGGCGGATTTAGCGTCAGGCAAAGTAGGCAGTTGCCTAGGGCGGCAAATTTTTAGGGGCGGCAATTTTAGGCCAATATTTTTTTGAGAATACTCTAAGTTTCTTTTTGATTTTCTAATGTACGGTGATTACTCTGAAGGATGGAAAAAAAAATGTTTAATATTTAAGTATAATAATAATCTTGTTAATATAATTTCTTCTTTATTTTATAATACATAACAATAAACGTCCAAGTAAATTATCGAATGACTGCCGGAACTTAGATCTATTATCTAAATACTAAACATAGATAACATATTTCGTTAATTTGTTTTTTTGCTAAGTCGTAATAATTATTAATAATCGCTCGTGGTTCGTTTGATCGCATAGCGATTAGCGGCGTACACACACTACACGCACAATACATACAGATATGATATATTTAATACGAATAAGGGTGACGATCGATTCGTATTGGAACGATAGTCTAATTATAAACCAGTCACTGTGAATATTTTTATATAATATACTCGTACCTACGTACTATGCATTATGTGTACAAAAACAAAACTTTTTCTATCCAAAAGATAAAATTATGTAATAATTGTTTAATTTTCTTCGGGACTATGAAATAGAGGGCGGCCGAGTAAAAAATAGGTTTATTCTGATTAGACATTCGATTATTTTCAACACAACATTCAAGGCGGATAGACTTCATATTCGGTTATTAGTATACTAGGTACTTATTACTGGTAAGTAAACACTATATTTTATAAACACATTTTATTAGAACAGTTTATTAACATAAATGCCATTAATTATTGTTTAGTATCAGTCTTTATGATTTATTTTTTTAGTACTTATGTTAAATAATTATTTAAAAATACGTTTTCTCGTTGATAAGTTTAATGGGGCGGCAAAAAAAAATTTGCCTAGGGGCGGCAATTGTGTAAATCCGTCTCTGCATAGATAGCAAGAAGTATACTAACGTAAGTCCTAAACTATGATAGGAGTATAGAAACGTATGTCCAGCGTTTACATAAGAAAATGATATATATAGATAATACATAATAATATTTTTGAAGTATACAATGGTAAGTCCATTGCAACAAATATTTTGTTTGTCTCCCCTGTAAAATTTGCTTTTTGTGACTTGCGTTAATTGACTTCTGTGGTACAGATTTTAAATTCAAATTTGGACGAAATTACATATTAAAAAACCTAGAATAACTATTTTAGTTATTTTGTTGTGATTGAATAATATTATTCGTGGGTACTTGAAACTTCTAAAGTGTACTATTGTATATCTATGAATTATGATAGTATCACGGTTTTTGTTGATGTATAACGCTTATAAGTACCTAATGGATATTGTGATATAATTAATTTGGAATTTATTTTAGGTCAAATTTCGGTTTAGTACCATAGTTATGTATATAATATGTCTTATACCTAGACTGACATACCGTCTCCGCTCAGAATCGTTTTTCTTATACAATAATATTATATCGTTGAATTCAAATTTAATATCATCCATTATACAGTGACCCACTTGTAAACTACTGTACAGCAGAGCGACACCCACTTGCCCACCTTTTTTTTTCTATGAATATCAATAAAGTTTTATCTGTTGGGCCAAAAAGTGTAAAATTTAATACAAGGCTCCTGATATATTGTTACAATATCAGTTGAAGAATATTAAAAATACATAGGCACATTTTTTTTTTATAAGCATTTAAACATCGAATTTTGACAGAATTTTTCAAAATCTCGAAAATTATTAATCATCGTAATTAATAAATTATAAAATGTTCAGTTTTTATAGCTAAGGATTGAAAATTTAAAACAAGATTCCACGTAAGTAGTTAATTCTCTTACCGAAAAATCTAAAAAATATACAATCATAGTTTATTTTTATAGTCATTTTATGTTCAAATTTGGACGAAATTACATAATAAAAAACCTAGTTATTTTGTTGTGATTATATAATATTATTCGTGGGTACCTACTTGAAACTTCTAAAGTGTACGTGTGCTATTATATATCTATGATAGTATCAGGATTTGTTATTAATGTTGATGTATAACGTGTTATAAGTACCTAATTTATATTGTGATAATGTGATATGATTAATTTGGAATTTATTATAGGTCAATTTTTTTTTAATACCATAGATATGTATATAA